AGATGTTGTCCTGTTAATGGATGAAAATGCACCAAGAAGTTCCTGGATCATGGGTAAAATTATCCACGCAATAACGGACAAAAAGGGATTGACAAGGCAAGTTAAGATCAAGACTAGGAGTACCTGCTTAACCAGGCCGATTACCAAAATTTGTCGTCTTCTGGAAGCTGAGGAATTTAAAGATTAACTATGACTGACATTTGAGAGCTCTCAACTGACTTTTGACATGACCTTTTGACTTGGACTTGACTGATTTACGGACTTTACTGACTTAGACTTGAACTTTGTATGAACTTTACTCCGTTACAATGATGAACACTTGAGTGCCTTGGACACTTTCGCACACATGTATTGTTTCACATTTTCTTAAGCCTTTGTGAAAAGAAAAAAAAAAGGAAAAAAATCATGTATAACCATTATATGTGTTAATATTGTTCATGTTTTGATTATATTTGTGATTATTGCATTAGTATTGTGTAATAATCAGGGGCTGGAATGTAAGTGTAGAAAATGTTTTGTCTTTTATTTTGTAATTTACGTGCGCTTCCAGGTGTGACGGTCACATGGGTATTGGTGGGTATATACCTGATAGTGTTTCCTGTTTGGGGTGTGTGGAGAGGGGGTGAGTAGCGGGGAGTGCTCACTTTCTGTTGACCGTTAGCATGTATGTTCTTTATTGTTTCTGCGTGTAGTCCGTTACCATGTCAATAAAAGCTACTGAATATTCAATGCAAGAAAACGCGTCACGGATATTTCCTGCTGCCTAGCCTCTCAGCGGCTATAGGTTGCCGCTACAGTAGGCATGGTCAAAAATGGTCACAATGGGCGACCATTGAAAGTGAATGGGAGAGACTGAAAATAACAGAACAATTTAGTTTTCAGGAGCATGTTCATTATTTTCATGTACACATATGAGCATGCAAACATCGAGCCCTTGGACCTGTGCATGTATCGATACATTTATACTGTACACACGCATCCCAGACACACACGCATTAAAACACACAAACTTTGAGTATTACACACATTCTTTTCCACAGAGAGAAATTTGATTCTACCCTAACCTGCATCTAATATACATTTATCCATCTGACATTACCACACACACACACACACAAACTGGCCGTGACTGCAGTGATCCGGCTTCAAAATAATCTTTCTTTCATGTTCTAGTTTCATCACAGCTTCCAGAAAAAATATTATGACATTTTGTTTTGGAACTGTGAGGTTCTCACCATAGACAGTGGTTCTCACACAGAACTAGACAATATTTACAAATATACATCATGTGATAGCACAGGCATATATAAATTCCTCACAGCACCTTGCTTGTCATTCATTTGTGGCAGCACAATGGCAAAGCAGATCTCTGCACATGATGTTATTCATCAGATTTTTGACTCAGAAAATAGTGGGGAGGATCATTTCTCTCTGTGGAAAAGAATGCGTGTAATACTCAAAAAAGCTTGTGTGTTTTAACGTGTGTGTGTGTCTGGGTAGCGTGTGTATAAATGTATCGATACATGCACAGGTCCAAGGGCTCGATGTTTGCACGCACACATGCTCATATGTGTACATGAAAATAATGAACATGCTCCTGAAAACTAAATTGTTCTGTTATTTTTAGTCTCTCCCATTCACTTTCAATGGTCGCCCATTGTGACAATTTTTGACCATGCCTACTCTCAGATAAATGAGACCCACGATTAATCAGATGCAAACAGAAATATAAAACCAGTCCTAATTGAAAGAGAACAAGTTGACAAAAAGATTGAATCCAAGATTGGGTGAAAATATGGTATAATGAGTGATTTATAAGCTATTTTTTATAGGCCGGTCATTTTTGACCGGGAACACCACAAGTGTGACTATATTCCATATTTTTTACAAAAAAAAAGTTTCAAAACAAAATTCCTGGTAAAACATTAGAGTAGACTAGTGTGATGAACAGTAGCCATTTTTTTTTCAAATTTTTTTTTCATATTTCCAAATTTACTTATACATTATTTATTTTTGACTCAAAAAATGAGATGCCTACTCTCAGAAAAACGAGGCCCACGATTAATCAGATGCAAACAGAAATATAAAACCAGTCCTAATTGAAAGAGAACAAGTTGACAAAAAGATTGAATCCAAGATTGGGTGAAAATATGGTATAATGAGTGATTTATAAGCTATTTTTATGGGCCGGTCATTTTTGACCGGGAACACCACAAGTGTTATAGGGTTTTGAACACCACATGAGGGTTAAGCTAGCTATCATAAAACTGCTTGTTAAAAAAACGCAACTTGATCCTACAGAATTAGTTAATTACAGGCCAATCTTGAACCTGCCTTTTCTCCTCACACAACTCTGTTGCTTTCTTGAAAAAAATGATATCTGTGAGGACTTTCAATAAGGATTTAGACCACATCATAGTACCGAGACAGCTCTCGTGCTGCATTTGACACAATTGTAGGGCCATATAAAATCCGTTTTATTTTTTCCCAAATTCCGTTTTATTTTTTCCCAAATTCCGTTTTTTCCGTTTTATTTTTTTGCAAATTCCGTTTTAATTTTTGAGAATTCATTTTTTTTACCCTTTACTGTTATTTTAGTTGTAAAAAGAGTGTGCTTTTATGATTAAAATGTACACAAATAAAATAGGCATATTTACTCTTAAAATGACATAACTCTTACTTTTTAGCACAAATACTGCATGATGCAACATAACACTACACTCTAAGTAAGCTACTTCAAGTAACAACAAAATATGGTTATGTCCTGCAAAATAAATAAAAGTGTGTCTCTCTCTCTCTCTCACACACACACACACACACACTGTCGAGCACTCTCTCGCACACACTTGGTCTGTTGAGCGTGCACTGTCGAGCACTCTCTCGGACACACTCACGCAACGCAATGTCACTTCGCTTTTGTCCAGTCCGGCACCTCATAGAAAGACATGTACGGAGGAGATGGGGTGTGTGCGTGTGTGTGTGTGTGTGTGTGTGTGTGTGTCGAGTTTCTTAACTTCTTCGCCGACGAAAGCACAGAGCCGTGGAGAATAACGGGAGGGGTTGCGTCGCCCAGATTTTCTTCCCCGTCTGCATTTTCCCCAGACACACATTCTTCTCCCAAACAAAAAACGAATTTCATTCCAAATATGTTAAATTCCACATTAACACTAGATTCCGCGTTAATCGTGCAATTACGCGATTCTGTCCGCGATTCCGTGATCGCGGAAATTATAGGGCCCTACAATTGACCACAAAATTATTTTAAATAGACTAGAAAACTATGTTGGCATTTGTGGAACTGCATTAGCATGGTTTGAATCATACTTATCTGACTGTTATCAGTTTGTAGCAGTAAATGAAGATGTCTTATCGATCACAAATTCAGTATGGAGTATCACAAGGCTCAGTACTAGGACCGCTGCTATTCACTCTGTACATGCTACCATTAGGAGATAATGATATCATTAAGAAACCTGGAATTAGCTTTCACTGTTATGCTGATGATCCCCAGCTGTATATTTCTTCAAAACCTAACGAAACTTACCAACTCACAAAATTAACGGAATGCATTGCTTATAAAAAATTGGATGACTAGTAATTTCCTACTACTAAATTCTGAAAAAAAACAGAGATTCTAATTATTGGACAAAAAACTTCCACACGTAACAGCCTACAATACTCCTTAACACTTGATGGCTGCTCTGTTAAGTCATCGTCGTCAGTTAAGAACCTGGGTCTGCTCTTTGATACTTATCTCTCATTTGAAAGTCATGTGTCCATTATCTGTAGAACCACATTTTTTCATCTTAAAAATATATCTAAATTACGCCATATGCTCTCATTGACAAATGCGGAACAATTAGTTCATGCATTCATGACGTCATCAAGGCTAGATTATTGTAATGCTCTACTGGGTGGTTGCCCTGCACGCTTAATAAACAAACTTCAGATAATCCAAAATGCAGCTGCTCGATGACCATATTAGCCCGGTTCTGTCAACCCTGCATTGGCTGACTATTAAACGTCGTATAAATTTTAAAATATTGCTGATTACTTACAAAGCACTAAATGGTTTAGGAGTACTTGAGCGAGCTCTTAACGCAAAGTCCTTCACGTCTATTGCGATCTCTAAACTCCGGCCAGTTGATAATACCTAGAATATCAAAATCGACTGCTGGTGGTAGATCCTTTTCCTACTTAGCACCAAAACTCTGGAACAATCTTCCAATCATTGTCCGGGAAGCAGACACAATCTGTCAGTTCAAATCTAGACTAAAAAACATAAATCTTTGGCCTAGCATACACATAACACACTATAGACTTCCTAAATTCAAATTAGGCTGCATAGTTTAGATCAGCCGGAACCGAACACGTCCCGTAAATCCTGATGTACTTGGTACATTATAAGACGGATGGGGTCTACACTAATATCAGTTTCTCTGTTTATCCCGACTCCCAAGGGACCCTCTATGGTGGACCTGCGCCTGGACCCATCCCGACTCATCCTTAAGTGCCGGCCTCATCGACACGACAGCCATCGGCACTGATCCTCAACATCTCGTCTCCAAACTGGCGTGATTACTTCGACTTCCAAACAGATGGAAATGGATAATTCTCTTAATGTTTCGATCCAATTTGTTTTGTAATCACTGTTCTTTTGTTGGCCAGAGGTGAACTGGCCCCCGACTGGGCCTGGGGTCTCCCAAGGTTTTTTTTTTTTTCTCCATTCAATCACCTGATGGAGTTTTGGTTCCTTGCCACTGTTGTCTTGCTTAGTTGGGGACATTTAATATTCAACAATATTATTGATCTGTGTTGTATTATTTTCATGTTATCACTGTGAAGATGCTTTGATACAATCTGTATTGTAAAAAGCGCTACATAAATAAATGTGACTTGACTTGACAGACACGCGCGCGCACACACACACACACACACACACACACATACATACATACATACATACATACATACATACACACAGTGTGTCACACACTCACCCCAGTCCTCGCTGGTTAGCAGGTTATCTGCACAGTAACGGCTGTCGGACAGCAGCAGCTCCGCGGTCATCATCGCACAATCACCGGGAATAACCGGGAATCACAGATACCAGCTGACTTTCCCGCGCGCGGTGGAATCCATCCGTTAGAGAAACACCCGAAACCAAGAAAAATATTAATGTATTGGATGTATTGTTTTTGTTTAATGGTTTAATACGCCATAACGTTCCGTCGTTCGACTGACATAGACAAGGAAACACATTTCCCTAACAAGCCCCGCCTGTTTTTGATCTGATAAACCAATCGGAGTGTAGAACACTCTGAAAACCTAGAAATGTTATTGGATGAGAGGTGAGCCAATGGCGTGCTGCTCTCGTGGGAGGGCGGGCTATAACCGCTGAATGACAGATGCAGAAGCCACTGAAAACCATAGAGCTGAAAACACGGTGCTGACGGTGCCTGCACGCAGAGCCATCTGGAGCGGAGCCGTATTCAGATGCTGCGTCCCAATTCGCTTATTTATACTACGCCCTAAAAGTATGTACTCTTTTTGTGAGTGTGTAGCAAAAGAGTATAAGCTTTGGGACATACTATCACGTCATCTTTAACGGACAGCTCTGTCGCATGCTGCGTGCATCCCGTCACCGTAATCTGCCCTGTCAATCATCTTGTCACAGTTAAAATCCTCCATTCTATCAAATTTTATTTCCTACCGTTTCGGAGAGCACGTTCATCTGCCAGTTGTGGGTCTTTCATGCTCTCCTCATGTTTGCAATTTGAATATAATGATGCATTTAAAACGTAATGGCTAAGCGTGTCTTTACAAAAGTTCACAATGGTGCAATATAATGTGGACAACAGTGAATAAATTCATTTTCGTCAGGTTAGATACTGATAATCACTTAAGCTCTTTATCTAAACCTCTCTACACAACCGCGGGAGTGCGTCCTCCGTATCGACTACGAGTCTGTAGTTTTTTAACACTTTTTACTCGTGTTTGTAGTTCTAACCAAATCCTCGTCCAACGCGCAATGGTTTGTGGGCAATATCAGCCGTTACGCCGCCTTCACACTGGCAGTTGAAATCAGCTGATGCGGCTGCAAAACGACCGGAAGTCATTCATTTCCTATGGAGATTCGCAGACCAAATGCGAATGGGTCCGAAACGGGTCCGACCGAGTGCGGTGCGAAGAAAATCGTGTCCGTTGGTCATCCGCATATGCGTTCAAAAATTTGAACTCCTGCGAAAAGCTACGGACGGTTCCTATCCGACAATTCCAGCGGAAGTTGACCGTTGCTATGGTACTGATCGATAAACAAACCTGAATTATTAACTTTTAATAAAATAAATATTGATTTTATAACGATAAGTTGTGATGTCATTTTTTATTTTCATGACTTTCTAACGTTTATAAGGGCAGTTAATACAATTAAATTGAAGGTAGACATTGAACTATTGACCACTATATCACATTTTTTAGCCGACCTGACATGTCAACATCCTGGGCAACTTTCCTCACGCAGCATAACCCTAATCAGAGAGATCATACAGAACTGACAGAATCAAACTTTAATCTCTCCGCCATTTTTGTTCTACCCGCGTCCGACGCTTTTCACTGTGTAGTACGACGTCCGTTGGGAACGTATTGCGTATTACGAGCTGATTTCAACTGCCAGTGTGAATGCGGCGTCACTGTGTAGTAGGACGTCCGTTGGGAACGTATTGCGTATTACGGAGCTGATTTCAACTGCCAGTGTGAAGGCGGCGTCAGAGTGTGCATCGATCTACACTTCGGATTCTGACCGGAAAAAGTAGACCATCCGGGTATCTTTGAAACACTCATTTCAACATACTACGATTTGGGACGTACTAATTCTATTTTCGAATACTATTTAGGATGGATAGTATGCGAATTGGGACGCAGGAAGAGAGTTCTGGGGCCTCATTTATAAACGTTGCGTACGCACAAAAGAAGGCGTACGCTGCTCTCTACGCAATAGTTGGTATTTATAAAAAAGCAAACTTAAAATGTGCCCCAGATAGCAAACTGACATTGAATCAACGTGGAAATATGACATCGAAACAACGTTGATCTGACATTGTTTTGCTCATCGAATTAATGTTGAACCAACGTCAGACGCGTCATTCTTTCAAAACTAACGGAAAATCAACTTGAAATCAACGCGTTGTTTCAACGTTATGAAAGCAAACCAATTTTCGATTTTCATTTAGCTTTGAAGAATGCCGCGTCTGACGTTGGTTCAACGTTAATTCGATGAGCAAAATCAACGTTGTTTCAATGTCATGAGAGACGTTGTTTCCACGTTGATTCAATGTCAGTTTGCTATCTGGGACGGTCCTTCAGGCCAGCTCTGACCCAGGCGTACGCACAAAAACGGGTGAAATGGGAAATGGCGACACCGTCGGCAGACGGAAAAAACTCCCGAAAGTGGGACATTCTAAAACGCTTAACGTGAAAAACGCTTAACGTGGCTTACTGTACTAACGCCGCCTTCACACTGGCAGTTGAAATCAGCTCCGATGCGGCTGCGAACCCAGCAAGCAATCACCGTCTAGGTTAAATATAGACCCGATATAGTCCGTCTATGTGTAACCCACTTCTAGCCAAAATAACATTGAATCATGGCTAAATGTAATTTTTTCCAAAATAACTTGCAAAATTTATTTATTCCATCATGTAAGCAAAGTCAACTGTGATTACAAGGTGTTTGGTTTGATTTCTTTGACATTTTCTATGTGTAGGCTGTGTGTAGACGCGATCTAGCTCGTATAGTCTGCCCGGCTATTTATAGCCCACTTCTAGTCGAAACTGATTAATTGTCGTTTTAATGAATTGTTGGGCAGGCAACGCATGAGATGGTTGATATCCCATCATGTTCGCATTGGTAAACATATCTACAAGGTGCCAGTGTCATATCATGACATGGTCGATCTGTAGTCACGATTTAGCTCTGAATTGGATGGGCTATGTACAGTCTGCTTTTAGCCCACCGGCGAAATCGAGGCAATCAGTGGTCTACGTTTAACGGCTTGGCTATAGCCCTGATTTAGACCAGCGATTAGTATAGCCAAAATAAAATCTTAAAATTGTTTACTTGTTTTTCACCCACGCAGCTTCATGTTTGCTGTCACAGTCACACATTAATAAAAAAAATCTACGGTTTTATTTGACTGTCTTTCATTTTAAATTAAATAAAAATGCAATTACATTTCTCAACCGCTAGATGGCAACATCCCTACTCAGACATGCTGACAACGCGAGACTTGATAGCACAGATCATCACCGGTCACGCGATCGATCATTTTCAAATATTTTAAACGAGGCAGAGTGTTGTGTTTATGTACTTGACAGGAGATGGCGCTGTAGTTCACATGATGTTACCTATAAAAGGTGTAGAGTAAGAAAGGAGGTTGTTGCACCTGCTGTCTAATTATGTGACCGTGTGGCACTGTTGCCTTGCTTGTGGGTTTGAATAAACCTTGAAGAAGTTACAAGTTCCTTGTCCTCATGATTACCAGAACTTAAGACGTAACAAATTGGCGACGAGGATTTTTGCTGGTCTACATGAAAGATGTCTGCCGTTGCTTCTTTTCCTACTCCATTCTTGCCATGCCCTGGTGAGCCGTCTATCCCCTTTGACGTCTGGTTAAAGATGTTCGAGAATTATTTGCTTGTTGTAAATGCATCAGGAGATGACTGGCCAGTAGCAAGAAAGCGAGCTTTGTTTCTTCATTGTCTGGGAACAGAAGGCCAGAGACTGTTCTATACTTTACCAAACCAAGGAGAAACAATGGAGGATGCTATTGAGACTTTGAAACTACACTTTATTCCTCGACGTAATGTTGTGGCTGAGCGTCATGCATTCAGAAAGAGGATTCAAGCACCAGGGGAGACAATCCTATGTTGCTTCTCTTCGGGACTTGGCCACGACATGTGAGTTTGCATCTAATAATGATGAAATGTTGCGAGATCAATTAGTGGAGAATGTAAACAGTCATCGTGTTAGAGAACGTTTGCTACTAGAGACTGATTTGACTCTTAACAAGGCTATTACTATTGCTACACAAATGGAGGCTGCTGCTGAACAAGCTAAACTTTTTTTCAAATCAGACTTCTGTACCTGTGCAAGCAATTCAAGCAACAAGTGTGCCTGCTGTTGATCGTTACAAAAGACAATCAAGTTTGAAATCACCTCTGTCTGTGCCTTCAATGTCTGTTGCTACTTCCTTGGCTCGTGCATGCTATCGATGTGGATCTACAAAACATCTTGCAAATGATTCCAGATGTCCTGCAGTTTCTGTAAAGTGCAATAATTGTCAAAAGTTGGGACATTTTTCAAGAGTGTGTCGTTCACAGCAAGCACGTTCTGTACATGAAATTGAACTTCCTGAGCTTCAGATACTTTACATGCATGATTCAGTACCTAATAAGATAAAGTGTACTACTACTATCATGACTGCATCAGCTTCTGTAACTGTGGAGTTGATTGTGGATTCGGGATCTTCCGTTTCCATTCTGCCAAAATCTGTGTATGAAAAACACTTTAAACAAGACTCTTTGCTGCCTCCTCCTGTTAAATTGGTGACGTATTCAAGAGATCCAATACCAGTGCTTGGGTGTCTACCTGTTACTGTTACCAGAGATAACATGAACTGTACTACATCAATCTTTATAGTTGAATGTGGCACTGCTCTTCTTGGAATGGATTTAATTAATGGATTGCATCTCAAGTTTGAAGGTTCTTCCATACTTCCAGGAATGGCTTCAGCTCCTGTAATGCGACTTTCTGCTTCTGTGCCTGTTGCTAAGTTGGGATGTGCAAAAGGATTTGTGCATAAGGTAAAGATTTCTTCAGTGGTGAAACCTGTTCGTCAGAAACTTAGACGGTTGCCATTATCTGTTCGAAATGCTGTCAGTGATGAACTTCAACGCCTTCTTGACTTGGGTGTTATTGAACGAGTGGATGCATCACCGTGGATTTCTCCAATTGTAGTTGTTCAGAAGAAGACGGGTGGAATTCGTATGTGTGTAGACCTGCGAGAACCAAATAAAGCTGTTATTGCGGACAGTTATCCTTTGCCCCATATTGATGAGATGATGTCTATGCTGCGTGGAGCAACTGTCTTTTCTACAATTGATTTAGAGAATGCCTACTTCCAGCTTTTGTTACATGAAGAAAGTCGTGATCTGACTGCGTTCATCACTCATGAAGGGCTATTTAGATTCTGTCGAGTACCGTTTGGCCTTGCTTCGGCTCC